ATGATGATGATGATGATGATGATGATGATGATGATGATGATGATGATTTTTAGTAGGGACTGCTTGGTTTTTGTATGGTACCCAACATAGCAACTAATACTTGGTTAAGCATGCTAGGTTAGGACAGGAATCAGCATATCATAAATGCATATGTTTCCTTGACTTGTCTTCACACGCTCCGTGTTTAACTATTCTTCTGTATCATGCTCATTTTCTTTTTTTTTACACAAGGTTTCACTGGCTAGCCCAGAGTTCACTATGTAGACTAGGCTCACCTCAAACTCAGAGTAATCCACCTGCCTCTGCTTCCTGATTATTGCTGAATCACTATGTGTGGCCATTCTCATGTTTTTAAAAATTATCATTTATTGTATGTTATGCATGATGGTGTAGGAGAGGTGTGTTCATCTAGAGGCCAGAGGATAACTTTGTGGAGTTGTTTTTTTCCTATTATATGAGTTCCAGGGATCAAACCTTTATCTACTGAGCCATCTACTGACATAAAATACCTGGTTATGTATATACATATATACAGATGTATATGTACAAAATATAAACAGACTATATGTATATCTATTCATCTTGATGTCTTTGTTAATATATCTTAGTGCTTAATGTACCAATTTTGCTTCTTATTAAAATGTATTATTCTTTTTTTTGTTTTCCCAAGACAGGGTTTCTCTGTGTAACCTTGGCTGTCCTGGAACTCACTCTATAGTCCAGGCTGGCCTCAAAACTCAGAGATCCGACTGCCTCTGCCTCCCAAGTGGGGATCAATGGCACATGCCAACACCGACTGGCTGAATGTATTCTTTTTTTCTCCCACCCATATTTATTTTTATTATATTAATTAATTAATTAATTAGTTTTCCTTTTGAGACAAGGTCTCACTGTGTAGCTCTGGCTGGCCTGGAACTGACTGTGTAGACCAGGCTGACCTTGAACTCTTGGAGATCCATCTGATACTACCTCTCAAGTGTTTAAATTTAGTGTTTGTGTGTGTGACATACATGACAGTTTTCATGTGAAGATCAGGAAAATCTGTCAGAATTGGTTCTCTTCTTTCATCCTGTGGGTCCAGGGAAATTCAGGTCAGGTGGCTAGGCTTGGTAGACTAGGACTTTTACACACTGTGCCATTTCACTGGCTACAAAACTCTGTTGTTTATTTTTGAGACAGGGTCTCCTGGGACTCTGGCTGACCTCAAACTCACTACGTAGCAAAGGCTAATCTTCCTTCCTTCATTCCCCGTCCCCCAAGTATGTGGGATGCCATACTCAGCTTTCTCTTCCAAAGTCTTAAAAGCAGAAGTTGTAATTGCCTAACCTTGCCTCTTAAGAGTACTTAATACACTGTTGTATGCAATATTGAACTAATTTGATGAGAGGACCTGAGACCTAATATAGTAGGTCACACTGCACTAACAAGTCTATGCATGTTAACACATTCAGACCTCATGCCAGGCCCAGAAGGCAGGTGGTAGTGTTCCTGTAACAGCTGAGGCATCAGACCTAGAGAGGTGTGCAATTTGCCCAAAGTTACAGAACTGTTAGAGTCAGGGTCTGAACTTATGAACTCTGAGTCAATAATTTGCTGGGCTGGCCTTGAACTCACAGAGATCCACCTGCTTCTTCCTCCCAAGCACTGAGATTAAAGGTGTATGCCACCACACCTGGCTAAATATTTGTTTTTAAAAAGAGATATTTGAGCCAGGTATGATGGCACATACCTGTAGCACTAGCATTTTTAGGGTAGAGGCAGGAAAATGTGAAATTCAAGGTCATATTCAGTTATATGAGTTCAAAGCCATCCTGAAGAACTGATGAGACTCTGTCACCAAATAAATAAGTAAATAAAGACAAATAAGAGATACATGTTAGTGAATGAGTAATAGGGGAAATGTTAAGCCTTCTATGGACTTGGATATTTCTACTTGTATTAATTTTCTAAATACAAGCAGCCATGTCCTAGTTACTATCAGTAGTAACAGCAGCTAAAGGATATTGAGTGATCCATGTTAGGTGGATAGTACTATTTCTATTTTAGAAATGAAATAACTTGTCTAGAGGCAAACAGCTAGTAAGTAATAGAGTTTTGATTTAAGCCCAGGTACTGTATTTGCCCAGGTTTATAATTAAGTTCTTTGTCCTCCATTCCACAGTCAGCTCTCAACAAGAATCACTGAGTGTTTGCTGGGGGAGGAACATTTTCTTTAGTAGTCTTGCTCTTCCTGGATATAAACCTTCAAACATGTTCCTGCACTAACTCTAATTAAACTTATTGGTCCACTAAAATAATAAATAAAAATTAGCCGGGCTGTGGTGGTACGTACCTTTACTCCTGGCAGTTAGGAGACAGGTCGGTGGCTCTCTGGGTTTGAGGCCAGCCTGGTCTACAGAGTGAGTTCCAGCACAGCCAGGCCAGGCCACACAGAGAAACACTGTCTTGGGAGATAGATAGATAGATAGATAGATAGATAGATAGATAGATAAATAGATAGATAGATAGGTTGGTTACTGAGTGTGTTTGTAAAGTTTCTGTATCACAGCTAGTCAGTTGTTCTGTGGGAAGAGCACCTGAAGCCTGTGTTGGTGCTACTTAAAGGGTGAGCTGACAGACTGTTAAACACAGTGCAGAGGAGAGGGAAAACAGCAAAGAAATTTGACTTACACTTTTTTTTTTTTAAGTTTTTATTTCTTTTTTTTATTTGAGACAGGGTTTCTTTGTGTATCCCTAGCTGTTCTGGAACTCACTCTGTAGACCAGGCTGGTCTCGAACTCACAGAGATTCTTCTTCCTTTGCCTCCTGAGGACTAGGATTGGAGGCATGCACCACCATGCCCACCTAATATAAATTACTGTTTTGCCTGCATATATGTCTCTCTGAGGGAGGGTATTGATCCCTAGAAGTAGAGTTAAGAGAGTTGTCAGCTGTCATGTAGGTGCTGGGAATTGAACCCTGGTCCTCTGGAAGATCAGCCAGTGTTCTTAACCATTGAGCCATCTTTCCAGCCTCTAATTTGACATTGACTTAACTTGTTAGTGAAAGACTGTGAATGTTGGATGTAATTGTAAGTATGCTTTAAGGTTCTCTGGAAAAAGTACTGCATTGGCCAAGTGTGATGGCACATACCTTTAGTCTCAGCACTAAGGAAGCAGAGGTAGGTGGGTCTCTAAGAGTTCAAGACTAGACTGATCTATTTAAATGTGAGTTCCAGGCTAATCAGGGCTTCACAGTGAGACCTTGTGTCAAAAAACAAAACAAAACAAAACAAAGAAACAAAAACACTAGCTATAGCTTAGTGAAAAATGTGTGTATGTAGCATGTGTAATTGGCTTCATTCCCTAGACCTAGAGATGAAGGGAAAATTAAATATTAAATGTCTTTGAGAAATGACAAAATTTTCATCCCAGATGTTAAATATATGTATGTTTGCTATATGAAATAAAGTTTCCATTGATAATCCTTCAGTTATGGATTCAAAATTATACCTTCACAGCTCAGTATGGTAGCTTATGCCCAGAATCCTAGCACATGGAGGCTGGTCCCAGGAGAGTTGCCATGGTTTTGAGGCTGGTCTACGCTACATGTGACCATGTCCAGGCCAGACATGATGCCTCAAAACAAAGTGAAATTGTACTCTCAACTACTTGAGGTGATACTCCACTCTGGCAAACTGTTGAATCAGATAGTGGTTTTGTTCAAAGATTTGTGTGATGTGCTTGAAGAACAATTACTATTTTTAGTTTAAATTTGTGTGTGTATATGTGTGTGTGTTTGTGTGTGTGTGTAGGCCAAGGACAAGTTTTAGCAGTTTCTTTTTCCACTGTAGGCTACAGGCACTGAATTCAGGGCTTATATGGCAAATACTTATCCACTGAGCTATCTTGCTGGGCCAGGAAAATTATTTTTGTGGAACATGAAGTTAGAATAAAAACAATGTTTTGCCAGGTGTGGTGGTGCACACCTTTAATCCCAACACTTGGAGTTAGAGACAGGTAGCTACCTTTGAGTTTAAGGCCAGTCAATGAGACCCTGTCTCAAAAAAACATATAAATATTTATGAAAATATTATGCATAATTGAATTAGTATATGTAACTACTGTACCTAGCATTGTCCTGTTTGTTGTTTTTTTTTCCCCTACTCATAAAAGTTATTGGCACTGAGAATTTATTTTTAGATCTTTAGGTCACTTGTGTTCAGGCACTTACTATAGTCCATTCTAGAACTTTCTCAAGTTCTCTCCTTGCAGGCTAGATTACCTGTCTATGGGGTAGAAATTGTTGGGTAGAAACTAATTTGTTCTGATGATGGAGAAGGCCTGTAGGGTCCAGTTTTGTTCTAGTGGGGGTGTTAGGGATGTGGCTCAGTGGTAGAGCACTGTCCAGCATAGGTTTGATCCCCAGCACTGAAAAACAAAGTACCATATTTAATCTTCTGAAAGCTAAGTGAAGAGAGAAATTTCCTTTTGTGGTGCAGGGAACAGAGTTAGGGTCTGAGGCATGCTAGTCAGGTGACATACTACAGAGCTACAACCTCATCCCAGAACTTTTTTTTTTTTTTTTTTTTTTGGATAGTCTCAAAGACTCTGCTCAGAAACAGAAGAACTCATCTCTGCCAAGTAACCAAATGGTCACCAAGGAGAGTAATAGAAATGTTCATTTGGAACACCCAGAGCAGACTTCCAGCTCATCAGCAGGTGATCCTACAGCAGCGCACCAGGAAGTTTTAGGAGAAACCTTGGTAGCCACAACCTTGTGTCTTTCTGGCAGCGGATCTCAGTCTGATTTGAAGGACTTGACCAACCCAGCAGGAGAGGAGGGGGACACGAGCCTCCGGGAGACCCTCCAACCAGTCACTCGGTCTGTTAAAGCAGGGTGCCATTCAAAACAACTTGCCTCCAGGAATTGCTCTGAAGAGAAATCCCCAGCAGCCCCCACCTTGAAGGAAGGTGGCAGGGACACAGGCTTGGATTTCCGGCCTGTAGTGCTTCCTGCAAATGGGGTTGAAGGAGTCAGAGCAGATCAGGATGATGATCAGGATGGCTCTTCCTTGAAGCTCTCTCAGAACATTGCTGTGCAGGTCAAGTATCAAGGTTCTGCTACTAAAATGGAATTGGGGGGAGGTGAGGGTTGGGTTCTCTTATATGGTGGAGAACTGCACTGTGCCTTTTTTTTTTTTCCTAGCAATCATCATGCTGTTTGCATGTAGTGCCATGCAATGGCTTCATTCTGCTATTCCAGAAACAAGAAAGCTAGTGTCTTATTGTATAGCATGCAGGGATTATTAGGACCCCCATGTAACTTTGGATGAAAACTTGATTGGTGTAGATCCTTAGCATTTATACTTTTCTTTATTTTTTACTTTTTGAGACAGGATTTCTCTGTTCAGCTCTAGCTGTCATGGAACTCAGTATGTAGACCAGGCTGACCTCACATTCACAGAGATCCACCTGCCTCTGTTTTCTGAGTGCTGGGATTAAAGGTGTATACCCCCACTGCCCAGCAAACATTCATACTTTTCATCTCTGTCCTTAATGTTAGATGTTCTTGTTGATTGTCTGGTCTGCCTCTTAAGGAGTACATGAATCCACTTTCTGCTGCCTTAGGGAGAACTATGGGCACAGTGAATTGCCCATAATTACTCTCTGAGATCCGTGGCTTTCTCTTAAAGATGGCAGTGTCTCTTGCGAGGATTGCATTGCTGCTTTGCTCTTTGTTGCTGGTTTCTGGGTGAATAACTCCAGAATAACTCTGTGTTAAAGTGACTTAAAGTCCTCAACATAATCGTTTCTTAATTTTTTTTTTTTTAGACTGACTTTAAGACAGCAGATTCAGAGGTAAACACAGACCAAGATATTGAAAAGAATCTGGTAAGTGTGTACTTAAAACATCATTGTCACATAAAGCCATTGGCATACAGGATGTAGAAGCGTTGTCATCTTGGTTGGGAAAAGCACAAATCTCCTTCATAAAAATCCCTGACAGTGGGAATGGACTGCCTAACTCAGCCTGCTACATTTTAGCATATTTCTTATGCTAGTTCTAAGAAGGGAGGGTGGGCTCTCTAGTTCTTGCTACACCACTTTCTTATTTTTTTTAATTTAATTTTATTTTATGTGCGTTGGTATAGAGATGTCCGATCACCTAGAACTGGAGTTACAGACAGTTATGAGCTGCCATGTGGGTGCTGGGAATTGAACCTGAGTCCTTGGGAAGAGTAGCCAGTGCTCTTAACCACTGAGCTATTGCTCCAGCCCCCCTTGCTACACCTCTTAATTGGGTTTAGTAATGGAACTTGTTTTCTATTTACTACTCTGTACATGCAGTTTAAATTGTTATGCTTTTTGTTTTTGGTTTTTGAGATAGGCTCTCACTGTCTAGCTCTGATTTGCCTCAAATTTTCAGCGTTGCCTCCTGAGTACTGGGATTAGAAGTTTGTTCTATCATCATGTCCATCACTTTCTGTGTTTGACAAAGCTCTTCTTCTGTAGCCAGGCCAGCCTTGGGCTCATAGCAGTTCTCTATGGCATTGCTGGAATCAAAGGAACAAGCCATCATATGTGACTAATGCTTTGCTTGAAACAGGGTCGAATATAGCCTAGGCTGACCTTGAATTCACAATGTAGGAAGGTGATGTTTAACTCCTGATGCACCTGACTTAACCTTCCAAGTTCCAAGAAGATTTTAATGTAAGATATTTTGTTTTGTTTTTAAAATAGGGTTTTTCTGTGTAGTTTTGATTAACCTGGAACTCTTAGGCCACACTGGCCTTGAACTCAGAAATTGGTCTGCCTCTGCCTCTGCCTCTGCCTCTGCCTCTGCCTCCCGAGGGCTGTGGTTAAAGGTGTACACCACAACTAGCCTAGTGCCCGTTCTTAACTTTCAAGCTTAAACCTTTCCAGATGAAACATCCCCATGTGTTTAGCAATATTCTTTTTTTTCCCCTCTTACCCTGGTTACTCACCCTGACAGGCTCCATTTTTATCATTTTAAAAAAATTATTCATTAGTAATTTTTGAGATAGGCTCTTACTGTGTCGCTCTGGCTAGCCTGTTACTTGCTATACAGACCAGGCTGGCCTTGAACTCGAAGAGATCTCCCTGCTTCTGCCTTTCAAGTTCTGGGATTAAAAGACATACACCATCAAGCCTGACCCCACTGTTGTTTTTAAAGGCTGATCTTCGCTGGGTATGGTGGCACACTCAGCACATGGAAGGTAGAGGCAAGGAGATCAGGAGTTCAACGCTGTGCAGTGATTTTGAGGCCAGCCTGGATACATAAGTTGCTGTCTCAAAAAGCTGGCTCTGCAAACCAAATAAAATAGTTTGGGTATAGTTAGTCGTTCACAGTATACTGGCTTTGATTTATTCAGTCTTGGCTTTGAGTTATTCAGTCTTACATTCTAGATTGTTAAGCTTAATTTCACTTTTTTAGTACTCATATCTTTTTCATATGTGTTGCTTATCTATTTTTTTATTTATTTTATTTATGAGTGCTCTATCTGCATGGCAGAAGAGGGCATCAGAGTTGAGTGGTTGTGAGCCACCATGTGGTTGCTGGGAATTGAACTCAGGACCTCTGCAAGATCAGACAGTGGTCTTATCCGTTGAGCCATCTCTCCATCTCACTTAATCTATTTTCTATGTTGTTTCTTAGTACTTGGTTTGCTTTGTTGTTGTTTAGATGAGTCTCACTATGTAGCCCAGGCTGGATTTGAGGCTATAATCCTGTCACTTCAGCCTCCCACCTGCTGAGGTTATAGGTGAGTGCCCCCAGACTGATTGATAGTGAGGAGTTTTATTTATTTTTATTTTAGAGAAAAGGTCTCATTTTATCTAGATTGGCCTTGAGCTGACTCCTTAGTAGAGGCTGGCCTCAGACTGTCCTCCTGCCTCCCTTCTGAATGTCAGGGATTACCCACATGCTGCCACCATGCTTGTTTCCTGAAGTACTGGGGATCAAGCCCAGGGCTTTGTGCATGCCAGTTGAGCACTTAACCAGCTGACTTACGTTCCCAACCCACATTTGTCTTTTAAGACAGGATCTTGCTTTAGTAGTTATTTGCTTATTTGTTTAAGTTTGTCAAAAAAAGGCATGATTACTGAGCAAGGGTGGCAGCAGAAGAACTGTTGGCTTCTAAACTTTAGATAGACACTTGGGAAGTTGAAGTTAGGAGGATCAGAAGTTTCAGTTCAGCTTGGCTACAATTTGAGTCTAAGACCAGCCTGGTTGCAAAGATCATGTTGTATAAAAAGAAGAAGAGGAAGAAGAAGACAATAAAATTTTAGGTAGAAGATATTCATCTATTAAAAGAGTCCCCTAGGCCTAATGAGATGCCTTAGTGGGTAAAAGTGCTTGTCACTCAAGCCTGATGACCCAGAGCCCATATTAAGGAAGGAGTGGGCTGCAAAGACAGGTTAGCAGTTAAAGCACTTACTGCTCTTCTAAAGGGCCAGAGTTTAGTCCCAGCACTCACATTCAATGCCTCATAGTTTCCTGTAACTCCGCTTGCAGGGAGTTCCACCATCTCCAGCTTCCTTGGGCTCAGTGGTTAAGAGAATGTACCTGAGTACAGTTCCCAGTGCCAGTGTCAGACAGTTCACAGCTATCTGTAACTCCAGCTCTAGGGGATCTGACACCCTCTTCTAGGCTCCAAGAACATTGTACTTGTGTACACAAATACACACAAAGACACACACACACAAATTAAAAATAAAGAGCCTGTCTACATAGCAAGTTTTAAAACAGCTAAGGGATATATAGAGATATGCTTTAAAAAAAAGAGAGAGGGGGAAAAAAAAAGAAAAAAAATTGAAAAGAAAAGTGAAGAATGCAACTTTAGCCACAAAATGCCAGGGATAGATCAAAAAGTATTTTTTTTAAAAAAAACAAAAAAAACATTTTCAGCCGGATGGTGGTGGCTCAGGCCTTTAATCCCGACACTTGGGAGGCAGAGGCAGGCGAATCTCTCTGAGTTTGAGGCCAGCCTGGTCTACAGCGTGAGTTCCAGGCTAGCCAGGGCTACACAGAGAAACCCTGTCTGGAAAAACCGAAAAAAAAAAAAAAAAGAGAATGAAAGTTTTCAATTTACTTGTTTATTGCCATTATGTGTGTAGATGTGTATGATGTGTGGTTGATATAGTACACACGTGTCACAGCATGCATGTGGAAACCGGAGGGTGACTTTGCTGAGTTAGGACTTTCTTTCCAGCTCTGTAAAGGTGTTATTTTATGTGAAGGCTTATTTTATGTGTGTGAATGTTTTGCCTACATGTATATATGTGCACCTCGTGTGTGTGTGTGTGTGTGTGTGTGTGTGTGTGTGTATGTATGGTGGCTGAAGAGGTCAGAAGACGACATTAGATCCCTAGAACTTGAGTGAATGGTTATGAGCCATTATGTGGGTCTGGGAACTAGTACTGGTCTTCTGCAAGAACAGTGAGTGCTCTTAGCCACTGAGCCACAAACGTTTTTATTTTTTAATTGTGTGTGTGTGTGTGTGTGTGGTTATATACAGGTAGTGCAAAGGCCAAGGAGGCTAGAGATGTTGGATGTCCTAGAAGTGGATTTAGTGGATTGGATGTGACACATCTAATGTGTGTTGGGACTAAACTCACTACCTATTTTTCTTTTCTTTTATTTTTAGTCAAACAAGCTGTAGTTTAGGTTGACCTCAAACTCTGAGCAATCCTGTCTCAGACTCCTATGTGCTGAGATGATAGGCATAAGCCACCACATCTAGCCAGTGGGACTTCTAATCCCTAGCTGTGTGGGAGCTTGCTGAGTTGCTCTGAGTCTGTGGTTTTTGAGATCTCTTTACCGGGCCTGTCCACTTTAGTGCTGAGGCTAGCAAGGCTTCCTATCCCTTTTCAGTGGGTATCTGGCTTTGTTTTTCACTTTCTTTTTTCCTTCCCTTTTTTTGTTTTTTGGGACAGGGTTTCTCTGTATAGCTTTGGCTGTTCTGGACTTGTTTTGTAGACCAGGCTGGCCTCGAACTCACAGGGATTCATCTTCATCTGCCTCCCTGAGTGCCCCACAGTGCCCAGCTGATCTAGGCTATTTCTATCACTGCAGAAAGTGTCATTATTCAACACTGTGCTTAAAGCAAGGTTGGCAACCCATGGCATGTGGGCCAGATCCAGACTTTGTCTGTTTTTGTCAATATGAGTTTTATTGGAGTGCACACACCCACTACTTTACAGGTTGCTTCCCACTGTAACAGCAGAATGGAATGGCTGTGACAAAGTCCAGAGAACCCACAGAATGTAAAATATGTCCTGTATGACCCTCTACAAAAAATGCTTGCCAGTCTTCACTTTTGAGGAAAAGGGAAAAGAGCCATTTTGAGAAAGGTTAAAAAAAAAAAAAAAAAAAGGCAGAAAACAGGGTGGGTATGGTGACATGCGCTTTTGATCCCAACACTTGGAAGGGAGAGGCAATCTCTGTGAGTTTGAGGCCAGCCCAGTCTACAAAGCGAGTCCAGGACAGCCAGGGCTACACAGGGAAACGCTGCCTCAAAAACAACAACAAACAAACAAACATAACAAAAACCCAAACAGACTCAGATTGATGGAAGTTTATTGAACAATGAACAAAAACTGACCTATCAAGGTCATACTCTGGACTTGGGAGCCAGGCTATGATGCCAACCTGTTTCTTTTTCCTTTTTTTTTTTTTTTTAACAAGACTTTTATTAGTTTGCTCTTTTTGTTTTTTGTGTTGTTTTGTTTTGTTGTTTTTCGAGATAGGATTTTTCTGTGTAGCCTTGGCTGTCCTGGACTCCCTTTGTTGACCAGGCTGGCCTTGAACTCACAGAGTTCTGCCTGCCTCTGCTTCCCAGAGTGCTGGGATTGCTGATGTGTTTCTATGACAGTTATATATATATATATATATATATATATATATATATATATATATATATACACAAAAAACTGTAACTAGGTAACAACTAGATGTAGGAGGGGGGGCAGCATTACATCATTTTGACTAGCTAAACATAATTGTTTTTGTTCCAAGTGTATTGTATTGTATCTCGGTAGTTAGACAAAGCGTTTTAAACTGATTGGCTGGGATTTAGGATTCGGGGAGTAAGGAATGGAATGTAGCAGGATGTTGTAGTCTTAACTCAAGGAGAGCGTGCATTTATCATCTATTGCTTTATTCTGAGCAGCAAGTTATTGAACTATTGAATTTTATCCTGGTCTCAGGCACATAGGCCTGAGAACTTAAACTTAATTTCACCTTATGATTAAAATGGAGACTTAGAGGCAAAGTGGCTTCTGATATGCTAAAAGGCTACAGCAAGTGTTAATGGAAGAGCTACAGTTCTGCTAAAAACTAAACAGAGGAGCTATAGAGTTTAAGCAGGTTACAACACTAGGCTCCTGAGGGCCTTGGTGTTTCTGTTTAATCATATTTGATTAACTTTAGGTTACATAGCCACATGTAGCTAGTAGCTGTTGTATTGGATAGCATAGCCATATCTTAGATATAGATTGCAGATACAGTTTGTTGGATAGAATACTTGCCCATCATGCAGGAAGCCCTGGGTTCAATCCCTAACACAGCATAAACTAGGTATGGTGTTGTACACCTGTAATTGCAACACATGGGAGATCAGAAGTTCAAAATCATCTTCAGCAATATAGCAAGATAGAGGCTAGCCTGAGCTATATATGACCCTTTCTTAAAACAAACAAACAAACAAACAAACAAACAAAAACTGGTGAATGCTTCTTGAGATTAAATTGGGAATGAAACTTTTGTTGTTGTTTTTAATAGGACAAAATGATGACAGAGAGAACTCTGTTAAAGGAGCGTTACCAAGAAGTTCTGGACAAGCAGAGGCAGGTGGAGAATCAGCTCCAAGTGCAATTAAAGCAGCTTCAGCAAAGGAGAGAAGAAGAAATGAAGAATCACCAGGTAGTCTGCAGACCCTGACATCTGGGGGATTTAGCTCAGTAGTAGAGTGCTTGCCTAGCATTCTTAGAACTTGGTTTCAACATCCAGGCCCTCAAAAGAAAAAAAAAAGGAAAGAAAAGAAGTTGCAACTCAGATAAGTATTGTGTGTCTTCTCTCATGCAGAACCTAGATTTAAAATTACTTATGTATGGCTATGAGTGGTAGTACATGCCTTTAATCCCAGCACTCAGAAAGCAGAGGCAAGTGGGAATCTATGAATGTGAGCCCAGCCTAGTCAATGTAGCAAGCTCTAGTCCAGCTAGGCCTATGTAGTGAGACTGTATCTAAAAAAAATTACATCTCCGCAAAAAAATTGTGTGTTTATGCATGCATAAACATATTTTTAATTTTCAAAAAAGCTTAAAGTGTTAAAAATAAGCATTGAAAGCATCTTTTCAGATCCTATTTTTGTTTAGAAAGAAAAAGATTATTTACTTAAAAATATTTTGTTGATTTTATTGACCAGTAAACACTTATTTAGTCTCCTATATCTCTTAAAAAATGTGGTTTCATTTAGGTAAAATCTACACCTAAAAGCTGGGCTCGGTGATGTATGCTTTTAATCCCAGTACTCAGGGAGGCAGCGACAAGTGAATCTTTCTTAAGTTTGAGGCTAGCCTAGTCTATAAAGGGAATCCAGGACAGTCAAGGCTTTACATAGAAAACAGAAATTCTGTCTCAAAGACCCCCCCCCCACCAATATACATCTAAAAACTGGAAAAAAAAGTAGAAGAGTTAAAACCTCAAATGCAAGAAAAGATACAAGTAGTGTTTTTAAAACAGTGTTCTCAAGGGTGAGATAAAGTAAGGTAGTTGAGGCCTGTGAACTGTGATGCTCATTTTGGAAACTTGGGAAGACCTGTCAGTTAAAATTGTAAATACATAGTAAATAATTTGACCAAGCAGTCTTATTGGAAGTTCATTCTGCAGATACAAACTTGTAGATGAATGTGTGGACATAGAGTGTTTATTGTAGTGTTGCTTAAAAACTTTAGCGGCACATTCCTATAATCCAATTCTCTGATGCAAAGGCAGGAGGGTCAGAGTTCAAGGTTATATTCAGCTACATAGTGAGTTTGAGGCCAGCCTGGGCTATAGCCTGTCTCAATCACCATTATATTAGGTTGGAAAAGTAGTTTCAAAAAGTTTCAGTCAATCTTATGAATTTTTATAAGAATGGTTAAATAGCCTGAAAATATTCAGATAGTTTAGTTATATTTGTAGTTATTGACATAGTATGGTTGTGCTAAGTGGAAAAAAGATGCAAAATGGATATAAAATAGCCTCCCTAGAAATGGAAAAATGGGTCAGTGCTTTGTGTGAGGACCTGAGCTGGCACCACCCAAAAACAACAAACAAAATGTGATAACATAACACAGAAGCACTTAGCACAGTGATTACCTTTATGGGCAGAGTTGTGTGAAAAGGGATAATAGTCACAGATGATGACCTTTGTATTATACATGCTTATAAATGTATTCATTTATGTATTTATTCCTGTTCTTATATGGTAAGACAGCAAAGTCTTGGTTAGGGTTACTATTACTGATGAAACACCATGACCAAAAGCAAGTTGGGGAAGAAAGGGTGTTTTCAGCTTACACTCTCAAATTGCTGTTCATTGTGAAAGGAAGTCAGGACAGAAACTCAAACAGGGCAGGAACCTGGAGACAGGAGCAGATGCAGAGACCATGGAGGGGTCCTGCTTACTTTCTTGTCCCACATGGCTTGCTCAGTCTACTTTCAGTTTTTAGTTTTTTGAGACAGTGTAGCCCTGTCTGTCTTGGAACTCATTTTAAAGGCCAGGCTGGCTTCTAATGAACAGAGATCCACCTGTCTCTGCCTCCCAAGTGCTGGGATTAAAGGCATGTGCCATCACCTCTGGGTGATTAGTACCTTATAGCACCTCGGACCACAAGCCCTGGAATAGCACCACTCAAAATAGGCCACACTCTTCCCCATCAATCACTAATTAGGAAAATGCCTTACAGGCCTGCCTACAACCTGATATTATGGATACATTTTCTTAATTGAGGCTCCCTCCTTTCAGATGATTTTGGCTTGTGTCAAGTTGATATAATACTATCCAGCACAGCAAATAAGCAGAAAATTCCACTTACAATAAAAGCAGAACTATTATAAAACAAGAGCATATTTGTTAAATGTAGCAAAGTCCTATCTGAAGCAAGAATGCATTCTTGTCAGGTGTTTGTTCAGTCTTTATTGGAACATTAGTATTAGGGAATGTCGTGCTGTAGAAGCCAGGACATTCCACTTTTTAGTTCCTTCATGTGTATTCATGTGTACACAGGTGAATATGTATGCAGATAGGTGCACATGTATATGGAGGTCAGTAGCCAGTCTTGAGGCACGTTCTTCACTTTGTGATTTGAGACAGAACCTCTCATTTGGACCTAGAGTTAGGCTGGCTGTCCAGCAAGCTCCAGGGATCCTCTTGTTTCTGCCTTTCCAAGGCTGGGAGTACAAGGGCATGCCACCACACCCAGTTATTTTATGTGGGCTCTAGGAATTGAATTCATCCTATGATTATATGACAAGTACTTTACTGACTGAGCTCTCCCCAGTCTCACATCCCATTTTTAAAATTTGCTTTATGTCTATGGATGTATTGTGTTCATGTATGTGTGCGCTCCACTTGTACCAAGTGCCCTGGGAGGGCAGAAGAGGGTACCAGATCCTCTGCAACTGGAGTTACAGAAAATTGTGAGCTACTGGGTGTTGGCCGTGGGTCCTCGGGAAAAGCAGCTAGTGCTCTTAACTGCTGAGCCATCTCTCTAACCCCAACATTTCATTTTCAGTGATTCTTAGAACTAGCCTGTTGAGTTGAAGTCTCTGTTTATATAACTTTCTTCCAGAGGTTTAGCTTTTATGCCAGTAATTTATGAAATTGATTCTTTCAGTTCTGTTTGATATATAATCATTGAAATAAACTATCAGGCTGGGAATAGAGTAGTTGCTCTACAACATCTGCTGTTAGGATACCAAGAGAGGATGATTGCAGCAAGTTTGAGGCCATCCTGGGCTTGCTACATAGGGAGTGCAAGGCAAGTCTAGGCTACATTAAAAAAAAAAAAAAACATGTTTCAAAAAAATTAAAAACAGCCAGGCGCTGTGGCACATGCATGTAATCCCAACACTCAGGGAGACAGAGGCAGGCAGATCTCTGTGAGTTGGAGGCCAGCCTGGTCTACAAAGTAGGTCTAGGACAACCAAGGTTACACAGAGAAACCCTGTCTCCGAAAACAAACAAAACAAAACAAAATAAAAATCCAACAAAAAGCCAGAAGCAAAAGTAAGTGGAAATAGATGCAAGGGATCAGGAGTTCAAGACCAGCTCTGTCTACATATTGAGTTTAAGCCCAGCTTGGGCTATGTCTTATCCTATCTCAAAACCAAACCACACCAAACCAAAAAAACCTATGAGTGGTAGAATGCTTGCCTATCATATACCAGGCTCTTGTTTAGAACTTTAGTAACACACACACACACACACACACACACACACACACACTAAAACAAAAACTCCAAACACCAAAAACTAACATTTCTTTTTTTATTTGTGTGACTGTAATTGTGTGGGATTTAGGAGATACTGAAGGCTATTCAGGATGTGACCATAAAGCGGGAAGAAACCAAGAAGAAGATAGAGAAGGAAAAGAAGGAGTTCCTGCAGAAGGAGCAGGACCTGAAAGCTGAGATTGAGAAGCTTTGCGAGAAGGGAAGAAGGTAAATGCCGCTGCTGCACATGAGAGCTTGTGTGCATGTGTGTCTGTGCATAATGGCCAGTTCTATTACATGAAAGAAAGAAGTTCAGAGAGTTGGTACTGCTCTGAAGTGATAATTAAGGGCTGAGGATATAGCTCCGTGGTCCCATCCTGGGCTCAGGCCCTAGCACCTCTTCCCTTCAAAAAAGAAGTTTCATTGTTAAGAGCTGGGTTCCAAGTATGATCATAATTTTTATTTGTATCTTATAGCCTCTGTGTGTGTTTGTGTCTGTCTCTCTGTCTATATCTTTGTGTGTGTTCTGGGATTACTACATAGCACTATTGAGTGCCTAATTTTAGAGACCTAAGGGATCCAAACCCAGGTTGTTATGCACACAAAGCAAATGTTTTGCTATGAGCATCTCCACAGGCCATGATCTGTGTTACGTTAAAACCTTTTTCATTTGCTTTATGTCCTGAGGGGCATTTTTTCTCCAGAAGCTCAGATAAGAATGTTTTGAATGGTTGTGATAGTCAGCACCACCACCAGCATTCTCCATTTGTGAAAGAACTGTCTATGATTGTGTCCTCTTCTTGATATTGTAAAAAGAGCCAAAGAAGCCTTGAATTTGGTTGCACTCTCAATTTTCTAAGTTGTTTGAAATCACATGCTTAGAAACTCTTGATTTCGAATTCTCTGCTAATGTTATTTAAATGCTGCTGACATTCATTTTATTATTATTTTATTGAGAAGAACTTGGCTATTGTAAATATTTGTGATGCTAAGTAAAAAGTAAGTAGCAAGCTCACTTACTGATGTATTTTCCAAAGTGAGAGTTGTGAACTGTGGCACCTCACATGCAAAGGAACATTAGGGAGAGAGGCCGGGGGCAGGCAGTGCTGTTGAGTCTGGTGAGTGATTAGGAGGTGGATCACACTGATTATTCCCAAACAGTTCTGTAGAGTCTTCAGAGCAGAGCATTGTCCTGCATGTTGATGGTGACCAGAACAGCTGGCACTCCACCCATGGCAGCATTTGGGGAAGATGAAGTATGACAGGGACACAAAGCATGTAATATTTTTTTTTTAAGATTTATTTGTTTGTTATGTATATAGTGTTTTGTCTGCATGTGCACCTGCATACCAGCAGAGGGCACCAGATTTCTTTATAGATGGTTGTGAGCTACCATGTGGTTGCCAAGAATTGAACTCAGGACCTCTGGAAGAATAGTCATTGCTCTTAACCTCTGAGCCATCTCCAGCCCACATGTAATATCTTAAAGAGTCTATAATTTTGTCTTGGCTCTGTGACAAATTTCCTTTTGCTGTGTACTGACTACTTTTTATGCACCTCTAACTACCATTCTTCCCATTGATTGAATAGCTACAAGTAATAATTAATGAACAGTTTTACTGCTTGTGATCTTGAAGATTCATGTTTGTTTGTTTTTTTGTTTATTTGTTTGAAGTAGACCCTCCATATGTAGCCAAGGCTAGCCTGGAACATACTATCTTTCTGTTTTTAGCACTTGTTTGTATTATAGTCTTGTTAATTGGCCTCAAATTCAAAGTGCAACAGAGACTGACATGAAAGTACTGTTCCTCTGCTTCTACCAGGTGCTTGTTCCAGCACTTCTTGCCCAGGTTTTGTTTATTCTGTGTGCATGTGTGTATGAGTGTGAGTGTGTAGCTCAGAGGACAACATCAGGTGTTTGTTCTCAGGATCTCAGCTATGTATTCTACTATGGCCAACTTTTACCTGGGTTCTGGGCATCTGAATTCAGATTGTCAGGCTTGTGCAAAAAGTGTTTGAGCTGACCTCCCACGCCCAGGCTCCAGAACTTTTTATTAGTTGAACGCTGATTGTAAATAGTGTTATCATTGCTGCCGTCTTGTGGTGCTAGAGCTAGGACCTAGAATTTCATGTGTGCGAAGTGAGCACTCTGTGGGCTGGTTGTTTCCACAGCTTTCTTTGTTTGGGTTTCTAGAGTGAATTTTTTGTTTGTTTGTTTGTTGTGTTTTGTTTTGATTTGTCAAGACAGGGTTTCCCTGTGTAGCCTTGGCTCTCCTGGACTGGCTTTGTAGACCATGTTGGCCTTGAACTCACAAGAGATTTGCCTGCCTCTGCCTCCCCAAGTACTGGGAGTGTGAATTTTTTTCCTTTTGTTATTTACTAGTACTCTACATATATTTCAAGTGTCTTCCTTCCTTTCTTTTTTTCTTTTCTTTTCTTTTGAGATAGACTCACTGTGTAGTCTTGGATTGCCTTAAGGTTTCAGTGCTCCTCCTGCTGCAGTCTCCCAAGTGCTGGGATTACAGGTTTTTGCTGCTGCACCCGTCAGTGTTTCTCTTAAGTATTCTTATCCATGTTGTAGGGAAGGGGATGTCATGGTAGAAAGTAAAAGTGGCAAAAAAAGTATAAAACTGGTGACTTAGGCCAGGCGTGGTGGTGCATGCCTGTAATCCCAGCATTCAAAAGGCAGCACAGGTGAACCTCTGTGAGTTCAAGGCCACCCTGGTCTACAAAGGGAGTACAGGATAGCCAAGGCCACATAGAGAAACCCTGTCTTGAAAAACCAAAAACCAACCAACCAAACAAACAAAACTAGTGACTCTATGCAGTCTGAAATTTCACTGGAGAAGTTGAAGTGATGGCCATAGGTAAGGGGAGGAATCAGGTGGCAGCGAGTGGGAGAAACTTTGCAAGCAGGCAGCCAACAGACACAGGGGAGCGATGACTGAGGTGTGAGGTAGAGTGGAGGAATGCGGCGGATGAAGGACATCATCACCTGTTTGGGGTTTTCTGACATAGAGCAAGGTTTTCAGGAAGGAGGGGCTGCCAGATGATGTGATTTCATTTTAGATAGAGCACGTAGGTGGTTAGAAATGGGTTGAGGCAGAGTGGATGACCAGGTAAGAACTGCACCACCAGAGTCCTGACTAATTGGAATAATGGTAGCTGGAGAAACATGATTTCAGAGCACAGGAAAAATCATAATGTCATGTTAAAAGTTTGCCATGAGGAGCTGGAGGGATGGCTCAGTGGTTAAAAGCACTGTTGCTCTTGCAGAGGACCAGGTTGTTTTCCCAGCACCCATGTGGTGGCTTACAACCATTCATAACTCTAGTGCTAGGGGATCTGATGCCCTCTTTTGACCTCCTTGTGTACCAGACATCCACATAATACATCCTTGCAGGCAAAACATTCATACACATAAAATAAAATAAATAAGTCTTAAAAAAAACTTTTTAAGTTTTCCATAATAAAAATATTGCTGTCGTGTGTGTGTGTGTGTGTGTGTGTGTGTGTGTGTGTGTGTGTATGTGCGCGCGCGCAATGTGTACTGTGTATGTGAATGCACAGGAAGAAGCCAGAAATTGGTATCAGGTGTCTTTCTCAATTGCTTCCTCACCTTACTATTTTCTAATTTGTTTTATGTGTTTGCATGTATGTCTGTGTGATGTGTGTGCCTGGTGTCCAAGGAGGCCAGAAAAGGTTCTCAGACCCCTTAGTTGTTCAGGTACAGATGGTTTGAGCTGCTTTGTAGGTACTTGGGTGGGGAGTTCAAACTCAAGTTCTCTGGAAGAGCAGCCAGTGCTGTTAACTGCTGAGCCATCCCCCCAAGTCCCTTCTACCTTATTTAAAACAAAAACAGAAACAAAAACAGTGTCTTTCACTGAACGTAGTCTAGCTGTCCAGCAAGTAAGGGATATTTATCTTTCGGCCTCCCTAGCATGAACTGGAATTCTATAATTCACTGGTATCGTGTCTATAATTCACTGGTATCGTGTCATAAAGTGAAACTTTGATCATGTTATGTCAGAAAGACTTGTGGTTTTCTTGGATAAAGTTGGCAAAATTTTCATGTGCTTTTTTTCCTAGTGTAGGGCAATTGTAGGGCTCTGCTCATTTTTTCCCTTTTCTTAGTCATTCAGTACCTGGTGTCCAGCATTTGGAAATATTTCCTGATATGTTTCCCCAGATTTTCAGTTCTTTAAGCTAGAGCTTAAATCTAGTTGCTAGTAGTCCACCACAGGCATAGGAAAGTTTCACGTGTCATTGTGCAGGTTAAATGTCAAGAGCGGTATTGTGAAACACCAATGCCAGTCCACACAGTAGCAAGAAAAGAAACTGAGGGCTGGAGAGATGGCTCAGCAGTTAAGAGCACCGTCTGTTCTTCCAGAGGTCCTGTGTTCAGTTCCCAGCAATCACATGGTCGCCTACAACCATCTATACTGGGATCTGAGGCTCTTTTCTGGCATGCAGGTGTACATGCAGATAGAGCACTCATATAAATAATCTGAGAAGAAGAAGCATTAGCAGCTGAGCTGGGCGACACATGTGGGCTTAGTGCTCATTCACTCCTCTGAGAGGTTGGAATGGCTAGACAGAAGGTAGTGGTTAGAAAGTGAGAACTAGCCCCATGTAACAACTTATCCCTGTGATCTCAGTACCTGGAAACTGGAGGCAGAATCAGGAGTTGTTCAAGGGTAGCCTTGCAGGATATCCAGTTTGAGTCATCCTGGGCTACATCAGACTGTCTCAAAAAAGCCAAATACAACAGTAATGCAAAGCCCAACCAAAACCAAATATACTGTAAAAGGTAGAGAATAAGTGCACAACCAGACACTTTAATGGTTGAGGTTGGTGGCGATGAGAAGACTAGAGAGAGATGCTGAGATACTTGGTGTCAGAACCCTTTGTATTCTTTTTCTGTTTTTAGTTTTTTGAGACAGTGTTTCTCAGTGTAGCCTTGGCTGTGCTGGAGTCGATTTATAGATCAGGCTGGCCTCAACTCACAGAGATCTGCCTGCCTCCTGAGTGCTGGGGTTAAAGATGTGCACCATCATTGCCTGGCTCACTCTACCCCCCCCCTTTATTTTTAAAATGTCTCCCATGCCCAGGCTAGCCTTGAACTCAGTTTGTAGGTGAAACTGGCATTCCAGGCGTTCGTCACTATGCCTTTGTCTTTATATATTAATAATTAACAAGGACTCTAAATAACATTATTTGTTTCTATT